AGAAAAATTCGAGCTGCAGTTGATGGTTTGAGGTATAGGTTTATGATATGCTCTAACCCAGTCAGATATGTTGCAGTTCCACTTGAAGAAGATGATGATATTGGAACCATGGTTGGATTACATGAGTCAACCAATATAGCAGTTATTGAATTATTTGTTGATGTGCGTAACATATGTGATGTTCCTGAGTCATCAAGATGTGTGGCTCAAAATCCATCTGAAATGGCTTTATATAGTCAGTTTGAGGAGCCGACATACAGGTTCCCGAACAGTTTTATGGCATTATTGGAAAGTGTAAATGAAGTCGGGGGGACATCTACAGCAGCAGAGTATGAGACGAGAAACATACCGGAATTTGTTGTTGATATTGACGCTGAAAATCGATGGGGAGAAATTCATGATGATTCAAGCGAAGATGAAGAAACTGAAGAACCCGTTTTGGGCGGCGACGAAAATATTTTTGGTGGAGGTGCAATTGATGAAGTTCTGACACCGTATGAAGCTACTCCTCACATGTACGAGATAGATTATGATGCAATGAGGGCACCTGAATTCCCAGACATGCCACATTTACCTCCGTACCAAATGACTGAATCATTCGATAATTCTGGTGAATTTTCAGTTGGGGTGCAATTCAGAGGAAAAAATGAAGCTACGCTGGCGATTAAAGAGTACTGCATCAAATGCCATGTTGATGTCCATGTTGCAGAGTCCAACCAGAAAACCCTATACGCAAAGTGTGTAAAATATGGCCCAGAGTGCAAGTGGAAGATCAGAGTGTCGAAAAATCAAAGGCACGATGTTTGGGTCATCACGAGGTACAATGGTTCGCACACATGTTTGCGAAACTCCATCGAACAAGACCACCGACTATTGGACTCCGATGTAATATGTGAATACGTGAAGGCGATGGTTGAAAAGGATCCAAGGATATCTTGTTCAGTGTTAGCTGTATCTATTCGAAGCCAATTTGGATATCAAGTAAAATATGGCAAGGTGTGGAATGCGAAAATGAAGGCAATGAAGTTGACGTATGGAGATTGGGATACATCGTACAATGAGCTACCACATTTGCTACAAGCAATGATTTAATAATCATTATAATAATGATTTAGTAATAATCATTATAAAAATGATTTAATAATGATTTAAATATTTAATGATTTGATGAACCTCGTAATGATTTGATAATAATCATTATAATAATGATTTTATAATAATTATTTAGTTATTATTTAGTAATTATTTATAATAATGATTTAATACTAATGATTTAATAATTATTACTAATAATTATAGAATACTAACAAATGAGTGTACAAGTGTGGATTACTGAGTTTAAATTTATACATAGTCGAATTTATTAATGATTTTTAAATATTTAATGATTTGATACTAATGATTTACTAATTATTATTAATAAGGATTTATTGTTAATATTTAATTATTTGATACTAATGATTTAAAATAGTTGATTTACTAAATATTTAATTATTTGATACTAGTAATGATTTGATACTAAAAATCATTGTTAAGGTTAAAAAAAGTAGTCTAATTTCAATAAATAATTTGTAATAAATAGCAAACGAGTTTACAATTGTTGTCGATGTCGGGGTGTTGTTGAATGATAATGTCGGGGCGGACGTCTGATACGTTGTGGCCGTTGTGGCTCAGGAGTATTGTACCCATCCCCCTCATTCATTGGGGGTATTTGAACTGTCATGTGTTCAAAGTCATACGTCGACGAAAACGTAGGAGAATAGATGGGTGCCTCAGGCTGCACAAACTCTGGTATGTATGCCGGGCCAGTAGAATCATCAACTGCGTGATGCAACGATTGTGGTGCGCTATTATCCACATCGGTCATTTCCGCTTCAGTTTGTAGAGATGAACTCCCACTCCCACTCGGTAGAGAGTATTCAGCTTTACCAAATCTTTTCTTAAACCTCAAAAATTGTCGCCTCTCTACTATTGTTGTGAGGAACGGCTTTCCATTATCCAAAAAATAAGCAAGGTAAGCCGAAGTCTCAAAATTAAAGTCATCGTCTTGAATGGCGTCAAGAGTTGGCATGAATGAAGCCCTATTGTTCCAAGCATTAATGTAGGTTGCATGCTTCTCAACCCAATTAACGCTTTCTTTACGACGACCATCAAATCTGTACAGGTCGTCATGCGTCTCAACCCAATTCACTGGACGACGACCATCTACGTTTTGGAGGAGGTCATGATCCCATGGACTCCGCGGAATAGGTTGGTGGAAGTGGAATTGCCTCAGCACTCTATCCCCAAATTGGATCTCAACAAAAGCAAAATTGATCAATGGTGTAACAGCACACCAATATTGAAACCCATCTAAAATATCGTGCGGTATCAACGCAAATAATTCTTCATTCATGTATGGTCTCCAATTAAACTGTAAAATTACAAAAACAATAAAATTTATTTAAATCAAATAATATAGTTAATTTAAATAATAATTAAAAAATACAAATTATGCATACCTCCTTTTTGGCCTTAATGTCGATCTTCAACCTGAACTCTTTAATGTTGTTGTGTACCAACCCTGTGCCTTCAATTTTATGCCTCCATCTGTATATCAATCAAAACAAAAATAGAGACATTTTGTTCAATAATTTTAATCAAAATAAATATTTTTTAATTAATATTTTATATTAAAATAGAGGATTCATATTACCTTCCAGCAAGTGGAAAGTCAACCGCAGTCCGACTAATCGGTGTCAAAAACGGAAGTCTATGCCAAGCCCATGATTGTAGCAGCAACAGACATCCACCGATTTCTACTGTATTATTATCATTCACGACTAATGACGCCTTGCACATCTCACGATACAAGAACGCCAATATCGCCGAACCCCAGCTATATTGCCTACAATTCTCAAATTTTGTTAAAAAAAGAAGATACTGAGTGTGAACATAACTACCGGATTTATCAGGCATCAAAATTCCCCCAATCAATTGTAATATATATGCTCGTGTTGCATATATAATTTCGTGCTCCGTATTATTTGATTGAAGTTGAAATTCATTCTTCAACCATGACAACCTCACCCGCCACCCTTTACACTCTGGTGGTACGGGCGCTTTCCCAAGAAACAAGTTGCAAAGTTGTTCCACCTTATTAAACTCATGTGACATTACCACCGGCATCCCATTAGTTTGGACCCCGAGTTGCATTGCCACATCATCCAAAGTTATCGTGCATTCACCACACGGCAAATGAAACGTGTGCGTTTCTGGTCTCCAACGTTCAATCAACACACTGATCAAACCTGAGACCAACTTGTAATCTCGCACAAATGTTATATACCAAAATCCAGCCTCTTGCAAATTTTCTTCTATTAGTGGGTGTGGCTTGGGCACTTTATGTAGTCGAAGACGAAGGACTCGCTGCTCGTCCTCCTACAATTAAATATTTCAAAAAAATTATCACAATCATAAATAATATTCAAATATTTATTAATTATAATTCATTAAACAAATATTTTATTCACCATTATTCCCAAATGACTTGAAATATGTTCATTGTCAAGCCTCAACAGTGGAATTTGGTCAGCCATTAGAATGAATCTGTAAAAAAAATTAAACAACAATATTTAAAAAATCATTTAATATAATCTAATATAAACTAACTAACTAATTTACAACACTAAACTTTAATATAATAACTTATAATATAATAAACTAATAAACTAACAAACTAAACTTTTTAAAATATAAGTTAAACGTAAACGCTAAACCCTTAAACAACTAATAAAATATTCTTTTATATAACTAAAACTAACTAATAAACTATTTTTCATTATAATATACTACTAATAAACTTACTAACTAATTTTTTATATAATATAAATTCAACAAACAAATATAACTTAACTATTTAACTAATACAAACTAATTAAATATTTTTTTTATATAACTAACTATTAACAAAACAAACTAATTAATTATTTTTTAACTATATAACTATCAAACATATACTAATTAAATAATTTTTAATTTATGTATACTATAACTTAAACTAACAATCATATAACCCTAAACTAACAAACTAATTAACTGCTTTTTGTTTTACCCTAAACCCTAAACTAACAAATTAAACATTTATAATAATAAACTAATTTAAATATAAAAAAATTTACCTTATCTCCCTTTCTTCTTCTTACTTTCCTTTCTCCCTTTCTTTCTTTCCTTTCTCCCTTTCTTTCTTTCTCGGCTGCAATCTCTTCTCCCTTTCTTCTGCAATCTCTTCTCCCTTTCTTTCTTTCTTTTATAACCGGCTGCCTCAATTATTTCACCAATAATTGTACAATTGCAGCTATGATAGCATCAGCTGATTTCACGCAGCAATGGTTCAATTATTGTACCAATAATTCACGGCTCAAATGGTTCACATGCATGCATTGGCTCAAATGGTTCACATGCATGCATTGGGAGCTGTAGGCATGCAGCGGGGAGCACGTGAAGGAATCTATGTGGCTGCATGTGCATGGACGATGGGAATGTCGCCGGGACTACATGGCGACCTACAAGGTCGCCGGGACTACATGGCGACCTACAAGGTCGCCTAGGCTGCATGGCGACCTCTCTATTCCTGCATGCTCCCCATTGGCTCGTATGGCTCGTATATGGCTCGTATGTCACCTGGATTGCATGGCGTCCTACAAGATCGCCTGGATTGCATGGCGTCCTATGGCGATCACTGTTGAATTCACCCCATTCTAGCAATTAATCTGGGATGTGCACCATATCGTGAAAAAAAAAATTCGAGAACATTATCTCGTGAATTCACCCTACTAAATATTGAAGCTAAAAATTTTAAAATCAGAATTAAATTCACATAATATGTAAACTTGGAGGATTAAATTTTTATTTTAAGAAACAATCACGTTCTCTATTATTATTTTTTCGATAAAAATATATTAAAAAGTAAATTTCATAAGTCGAATGTTAACTTGCATAAAGCCCCACCCGGTTACCGTGTAGCAACACAGGGCATTCCAAAACCATGAGATTCCCCAGAGTTTCAAATAGAATTACATTGCAGTTGGCTAGTTTTTCTCACTGGCTTTGTTCATAGTACAATAAGTCAGAACCAAATAACGTCTACGACGGATAAAACGGAACATACTCAAGCTGCAACCGGAACCTTGAGCTCTAAGAAATCTTTCAAAACATTTTGAAAATGCCTCAACTGAGTATTATACAAATCCCTCTTATCGTCACAAGATGAGCATCTGCTTAATCATCTAAAGAGTAATGGCACCAGATGAATGGCTCCCAAAGCTTCCAGGTAACGGAAAAATGCAACATATTATGTTCTTCCAAGCCGACAACGGCCTTAGAACATCTCTCGACAACTTACACCAGATCATGGACGAAACCTCCATTAAAGAACCTCGTGAGCCTTCCCGTAATACCTGTTTATGAAAGGAGACTGCAAGAAAGAATCACAGAACCACAAAAGCAAATTTCAGAAATGTCAAACTGTTATATTCTAAATAAATTTAGGAATGGGAATGCATTATGTCTCGCTGACTATGAAGATAAAAAGAACGTGAAGACAAAGTGACGTTTGTTAAGAACACAAAGCAATAAGTGGCATGAATATTAAATGAAAATAATCAAGCAACATGTGCATTATAAGCAACATCATGGACTAGAGTTACAACCCATATGTTACTTGGACTCAGGTATATAGGTGCATTTAACTTTTTTCCTAGATTTTCTATGCATTTGGAGGTCATGTCACCATACCTATATACCCGAGTCCAAGTAACATAGAAATCGAACTGAAGGAGGTACAACCCCCTATGTTACTTGAACTAAAGGAATTCAGAGGAAAGAAAGTCAAAGATTGAGGGAGAGAAAATATGGCAAGAAACAGGAGTATGTAATCCATTTGATTTCCCAGAGAAAAATATAAAACAATGCTAATAGAAAATATAGTCAAACAAATTTTAAAGATGCTACAGCATATTTAATAAACCATACTGTTAAGTCCATTCAGTCAAAATAATCATTACTCGTGAAACAAAATAACAAAATAAATAATTACACCATAAGAAAATCATAAAATCTTACCTTCACATTTGATACGTCAGGTGTATCCGGAGTTTGAACAGGGTAGAACTTGTAAAATCTCATGTTCTCAAATGCTGCTTTAGTTTCCTCACTCATTTCTTCAAGGGCCTTTTTGCGAGCTTCTCTTGCCTGCAGCAATGAATTGGTTGAATTAATCAGCCTAAACAACTATATATTTACAAGTCAAGATGCAATGTTGTTGACAATATACCTGCCGATTAGCTTTCTTTGCTTCTCTAACTTTCTCTTTAACAAACTCCTAAAAAAATCAAAGGCATGTCAGGCTGAAAAGTAGTTATAAATACATGAATCCACAAATAACCGGTAGATATTCAAATAAACTTCACCTTAAAGGCATCCTTTTGATCTTTATCTAATTCATCTTCCTCAATCAGTTTATCAGTGAACTCCTGCAAATTGGTTGATATAACACAAATTCCCATGATGAGTAAATAACATCCAAAGACTGAAGTCTAAGGGAAGGAACTAAAATTGAAAACAAATTCCAAGCTACCTGTTCACATAAGTCAAACATCATAAAAATCATGCAACTTAGACTGTAACATAAAAATGAAAATAGTTGAAGGCTTACATCAATTTCATCCAAATCCCAATCAAATTCACAAAATACCTGCAGGACCAGAAAAGATGCATCAATTTACATAACACTTTGCAGATAGCTGCCTCGTTTATCCATTTGAAAATGGATACAAGCAGTAAATCAAAAAGTACCTAGACACTAAAGCACAACTAAGTCTAGAAAAAGCACGTCTCCCAATCACAGCACTTTATTAAGGTGCAAGGCACAGCTCAAATAAGCTCCCTTTTTGTTTTCAACTATTTTCCTTTAATAAGTAATATATTTTTATTTGATGGAGACAGGACAGTTCACGATTAATAAGAAAAGGATGATGTCTGTAAGTTAAGGAAATTCAGCACTAGAGTAATGATGCTTACTGATGCTTGATCTTTGCATCAGGAAAAGGAAAAATTAACTTCTAACATTTATTAGTGCATCTATACAGGTGTAAAAGATGCACCAGAACATGTGGAAACCTCAGCCTCCATAAGGTTTGAACCTCAAACTTCTAACCATCAGAGAATCACAGAGACAATACACAAGTACACATGCAAACATTACATGCTAATAATCAATTTAGCAATTAGGCTTTTACTGACTCAAGGGAGAACACCTATATTTGAGCCTTGAACCTTAACATAGAGGCTCCAACTACAGTTAAGGTAACAGTTCATTTATTAAAGCATGACAAGTTTAAAACCCCAAAATCAACTCCATCCACCCATTGATATCCAAAGTGTCCAGTGTTTGTCATAATTAATTTCCTCAGAAGATACAGAAACTTTACTGGCTTTGGTTCTGCTGGAAAAATTATTTGAACCTCAGTGCTTTGTTCAAGCTCGTCTTCCTTCAAAGGCTGATAGAAATCTGTCAATAGGGGTATGCCAAACAACATAGTAATAAATGTAAGTTCTTTTTCCTCACTTTTTTCTTATTGTTTTTTCATATTTTACAGAATATAAAATCCAGAATATCTAGAGAACTTACAAGGCAAACAATACTCATACTTCTTGAGACGATCTATTTTCATTTGTTTCAAAGCAACCCTGCAGCAGGAATATCAAATACAAAATATTAACCAAAATACATGCTTGCATTAGGAATACAGATATACTCCGCATTCAGGGAGAGAATAGATACGATCCAGATAAAGAAATGTACATCCATAAGCTTGCTCAAAATGATTTTTCAATCTATGCAACACAAAAATTTATAGGCAAAAATAAGTATCAAATGATCACCTTGGCTCATATGTGAGTGGACATATTATACAACGAAATTTCAGTAGGAAACCACACATCTACAAAGATCCAAAAATTAGAAACATGCGTTGATAAGAAAGAGCTGAAGCTGAAGCCTCTATGGATGACCACATCCACAAGCTCTGTTATACTATTATTTTCAACAAGCATAAGCACTTCATTTGATGAACTGTTTGCAAAAAAATAAGCAAAACTCATCCCAATACACATTATACTTGAACCCACCCCCTCTTTTCTTTTTACCCTGGGGGACCAATACACAATATACAAGTGTAAGTCAATATAGCAATTTCTTCAGAGAGAACCAAGCAAAGCATAAGTGACCCAAGTTAACAATCTCATACTGAAATAGTTGAAATAAAGACGCAAATGATTGATTTACTTTTGTTGACAATCTCATGCTAAAGAAAAGGTAAAAAGATCGTTAACAACAATTATAAGCATTAGTGTGCACAACTATACCTTCTTTGAGTGCAACTTAAGATGAATATCCGAGATTTCAGTCTATCAACTTGGCTGTCTCTGTAGAGGAATCAAAATGTACAACCACCTCAAAGTTTGGGTTTAGGTCAAGTCACTCAAAAGTAAAAAGAACAAAAAAGAGAGAACATTTATATTTATCACCTTGACAGCGTGGAAATCATATAGATGAATTAAATTAAATAACTCTTTTACATAAACTTTAAATATGATTTAAAAATATCAAAACTCTGTACCTATTCTCAAGTGCGATGTATGGAACCCAATCCATTTTCATTTGTTTCATAGGAACAATCTCTTCAGCTTCTCTCTGCACTGAGTTAATCCCAATCTTATCTGAAGGTGGGAAAGGAGAGGCAACCTGAAAAGAACCAGCAAAAGCCAAACAATATTCAGCAAGAAAATACAACGAAATTGCAGTGGAAACAACTACTTTGAGAAAATTAACCTCATAAACATAAAATATAGTGTCGTTGCAGTCATGGAAAATAACAAATCACTGCTAAAACAACAGGAATCTGTGCTTATTAATATAAAAGAAAACTAAATTGGAGTATTTTAACTCCCAACATTCTAGACATGATAAAAAAATCATATGGAAAATGAACCATCCCATAACATGTAGTTTAAGAAGGTCATCAAAAGCCTAATGTCTAACAAAATCATGTCCACATGTATAGAGGTGAAGCGAGAAAACCATTTATCCAAGAGGCAAAAGCCTGAAGTTCTGAGATTCTAAGCTTGAAAGCTGCACCTCAAAGGAACAGCCCTACTGTTCCGTCAAAGGAAAATGTTTAAATGAGATGAGCAAACTGAATACATAACTTCAAAGCAACATAAAGTTACTATTGAATAAGCCTTCAGCATAAAAGACGCTGCAATCATTTTGTCCATTTATCACAAGATAAAGAAGAAGCATCCCTTGAATTGACATAACATGAAAAACATTAAAAGCACTTTACAACCATGCCGGACAACTTACAGCCACAACCACAGGAATACAGATGACTTTGTTTTCTCCCTTGTAAGGGACCAATTGAGCTGCACAAACAGTAAAAGAACAAAATTAATGAAGTGTAATGGATGAATAAAAAGGACAAGTCATAAGAAATTGAAACTTCAGCATTCAAAAAAGAAGCTTAGTGGAACTTAGCAAAAGTTTTAAAAACTGCGAACAAGCTTTCTTTCTTTTTAAGAAAATGAAAAGTAAATAAAAATAGAATAAATAATGCAGAGGCAATGGCATTAAAAAAAAAAACACCCCCACCCAAAGAGAAAATGAAAATTTCTATATAAAGGTGCAAAATACTAGGACCAAAGCCATGAACTACTTACGCTCTGTGCAACCAAAAATATAAACTTTCTTTCCATATAGCTTCCCCCCCTCTTCAAATGCATCCTGACCAGAAACAGAACAGTAAAAAAAATCCCGTTGGCCGTTAGCTCTAAATGAGGAAAACAAAAGAAGCAAGCAAGCAACTGAAGATGACAACAGAGAAAGCGGGTAAAAAAAGCAGGTTTTTTCAACTGACTTCTAGATTTGAAAAGTTCCAGTTGTATTGGTAAACAGTGTCCAACTGATCCCACTGCGACAACAAAAGAAAAACGAAATGGTAAGCAATAGAACTTAAATTCATCAAAAAGACAAACCAAAAAAAATATTCAAACAAGCCAAACTCAAAATTCCAACCTCTGTTCCAACAGGAAATGCTTCTTTCCATAAATCCTCCTGCAAAATGCAAATTGCCAATTTCCATTAAAAAGCACACAAAGTTATAGCAAGACATATCCTCACTAATCATCTCAAATAGATAATTATTTTAAGCTCTAATTTGCATCCATTTCAGCTTTAATCTTCACACAAGGAGTCGAGCGTATAACAATTTAAATTTGTAAACGCTGCGTAATCCAGAATTAACAGTTCAAAATTCAAATCTGGAAAGGTCAACGGATAACCTAAACCTTTTAACGTCACATTTGTTCAGATATTAAATAAACCTAAACACTAAAGTCAATAAATAAACTCCTGAAGGAAATCCAATTTAAAAAAATGAAAACAAATTCAAAACTTGACCTTAATAAATGAAAATAATAAAAACAAGGCAAAGAAATCTTATACCAAGTTACGCTTATCTTCAAAGTACTCAGGCTCAGATTGAGGCTTGGAGATCTTAGCACGCTTAGCTTTGGGAGCAGGTTTATGGTTCCCATTTTGATTCTCTTGCGAAGATTTTACTTGCGCATCCTCTTGTTTCTTAGAGGCGGCATTTCTCTTTGCTCCTTTCCTCATTTGGTTTTTATCAAAATAGAACAACCGAAACAACAAAGTAAGAATAAATTCAATGGCGATGGCAAAGAAGATTCGGATGAGTGCTTAAATAATACGAGGAAGAAGGAGCTTTCTGGATTTTATGTGTGTGTGTTTGAGCGTCAATCCAACGCGGCGTTGGGCTACCAAATTTTGAGGGTTTTATTTAGGAGAGGGGGATAGGCGGGCGGGGAGATGGTAATTAAAATTCAAGGGGCGATATTGAACTGTTTTAAAATTCAAGGGGCGAAATTGAAAGAATACAAATTCATAGCGTTTGGTCATTTTTCTTTCTTTCTTTGGTATGATATCAGTATTTTTTTTTTTTTTGGTTATTAGGGATTCGGGGCAAAAATTCTCATATAATGCTACAGGTAATTTTTAATTCCTAAATTAAAGTGTTCATCCGATTAATTCCTCAAATGGGGTATTTTCTACAGTAAATTTGGGATATCTCGGCGTCTTCAGGGTTAACCAATTTTTTAGTGGGATCTCCCGGCGTCTTCAGGGTGTTGGATTATTTGTATTTTCTACGGTAGATTTAGGATTTCTCGACGTCTTCAGGGTGAACCAGATTTTTTTTACTCCTTGCTTGGATCTCTAGGCGTCTTTAGTTGAAATCCATGAAAAAATTTGGCTTTTTTACACAAATATCACCTTAACATAAATTAATTACTTGTTAGGCACTGTTTAAGAATATTTTACAGATCAAGCAAATTTTTAAATAATTTCTATAAAATTAATCATATTTTGTTAGTATTTTATTTAATTATTATATTATTTAATTTTTTATTATTTTATTTAATTATTTTATTTTTTTACAGTTATAAAATAGAAAGTGGTCCTTGAATAATTATATTCGGATTTCTCGGCTTTTAAACTTTTCTCTCGACTATAAATACGCTCTCAACACGTGGATATCTATACTGAAGCAACGACATTCTTCTAGTTTAGAGGATTGATGTGAATGTTTACAGGTTGAGAGCGTATTTACAGCCGAGAGAAAAGTTTAAAAGCCGAGAAATACGAATATAATTATTCAATGACCACTTTCCAATTTATAACTGTAAAAAAAATAAAATAATTAAATAAAATAATAAAAAATTAAATAATATAAAATAATTAATACAAAAATATGATTAAATTTATAGAAAGTATTTAAAAATTTGTTAGATCCGTAAAATATTCTTAAACAATGCTTAACAAGTAATTAATTTATGTTAAGGTGATATTTGTGTAAAAAAGCCAAATTTTTTTAATGAATTCCACTAAAGACGCCTAGAGATCCCAATAAATAATCTAAAAATCTGATTAACCCTGAAGACGCCGAGAGATCCCAAATTTACTGTAGAAAACACCCTATTTGAAGAATTAATCGGATGAACACTTTAGTTTGGGAATTAAAAATTCCCTGTAGTATTATATGGGAACTTTTGCCAGGGATTCGGACTGAGCCATCCATTTAGCTTGGTTACTAGTAGGGGTGTAACCGAGCCGAGTCGAGCTCGAGTATTGTTGAGCTCGACTCGACTCGAAAACTCTAAAATTGAGCTCGACTCGACTTGAAAACTCGCGAGTTTAAAATTTTCAAGCTCGACTCGAACTCGAAATCCTGAACTGAAGCTCGTGAGCAGCTCGAAAATGCTTGAAATAAAGAAAAAAATTCTTAAACTTAACTCGATTGAAACCTTAAACTCGAACCTAAACCTTAAATATATGAAAATCTTAATGTATTCTCTTTAAAAAAATCAATACATAAATATTAATTTTTTAATAATTTTTTTAAAAAAATATAATCTTATATATTATATTTTCGATCTGCTCACGAGCTTTTCGAGTCGAGTATCAAGTAGCTCGTTTCGGCTCGTTAAGAATTCGAGTCGAGCTCGAGCTCGAGTCGAGTCCATTCGATCCGAGTATTTATCGAGCATTGATCGAGTCGATCTTGAGTAGTTCACGATCTGTCTCGTCTCATTTACGGTCCTAGTTACTAGAGTTTGGCATGAGTGCTTTTTTTATTTAATATATTAACAATATTGGTATTTTGTCTTTTTTAATAATATTTTAATTTCATTAATACTATTGTTATTACAATACTTTAGATATTGTAAGTTTGATGGTATTTAAATACACAATATTTTTTATTTAAGAGTTTAAAATTACAAATAATTTAGATATTATATTTTAAATAAATAATAAATAGTTATTATATTAAAATTGCTCTCTCAAAATTAAAAGGAAAAAAGTAATGTAACTAAAATTTTAGAATGGTGGAATACTGCAGTGCTAACGTCTTACCTTAATCCAATGACAAAACTCTTTTAACACAATTTTACATCCAAAAAGAACCAACAGGGAAAAATCATAAAGACCTCGAATTTTTGTTTTCTTATTAACCAGGCAGCCATACATGTTGTCAACCAATATAACAAAATTTTACAAGAAATACAGCCAATGAAGTTTAAGCAACCATACCAGGTGTAGCAACAACTTGACCTGGTTTCATGGAACAAATGAGATTCAAAACATAGGCGTCGTTGCGAACATAACTTGGGCATTTCGATAACAAATCTTGTGCTTCATTTTGCCTTGCGGCTTTAAGAAACGCCTGGAACACACGAAGAACAACTGACATGGATGGAAACTTTTTCGATGTCATAGACTTGAGGAAAGCGATAGCATCATCACTACTGCCAGACCTCGAAACATACCCAATGAAGGGATCCACAAAGGGTGGGAAACCATCGTTTTTCATCAAACCCAGCAGGCTCAAAGCATCATTAAATCCACCCTGAGTTAATAACTTCCTTATCAATTCCTTGTAGGTGTCATGCCATGGCCTTAACTGATAGTCACTAACATACTTGTGCAGAAGCCTGCAGGCATCCTTTGCTCTTTTCCTACTGCAATAAGAATAGACTAACCATTCGAAGGCATAGCCAGCTTGAGGGACCCCTTCTTTTTCAACCATATTTTTTAAATAAGTTGATGCTGTTTCAAGATCCCCGGCGGCACAACACACTTCGATTAAAGATGCCCATGCCTTGTGATCTAAATTGGTATTTGATGCTTCCACACGATCTATAAACTCAACAGCCTCATCCTTTTTACCGGCACTAGCAAGGCTAAATGTGATTTTAGATTGCAAATTACCACTGGCAATGAACCCGTGTTCCTCCATTACTTCTAGAACCTTGTTGCATACCAACACTAGTCAAAGATTTGATAACTGAATCAGCCATGGAATCTGTCAAGACATTCTCACTCTCCACAAAAGTCCTCACAACTCTTGTAAACAGACGCATGTCTAATTGTTTACTCACCACTAATTTCTTCAGCAGAAAGGTCGAACAACTCAAGGAAGGCTTATGGGAACCAGCCATTGCAAACTCATATAAATCTACAGCTTCTTTGATCATCTTCCTCTTACAAAATTGCTCAAAAACCATTGTAAAAGTCTCCATTTCCATTTCATAACCAAAGCTCCTCAATTCATCAACAACCTTCCAGAACCTATCAATGCAATCTTCCCTCCCCAGAGATCTTGCCATGGCATTATAACTCCGCTCATCATGCTGCACCAAACCACACTCATCGATCCATCGGAAAAATATCAAAGCCTTTGCTGGCTCTGAAGCAAGATTTTCCAATACCCTTTTCACCAAATCATTTGAAAATGTAACATTGAGATCGAGCAACCGCTCCTCAACATCATCACCCCACAACTGGTTCTTAATAATTTTACACACCCTAGAACAAACCTTTTCGATTGAACTGTCAGTAGATCCAGAAGCAAACACCCTTCTCAATTTCTCCAAATCGCTCTCTAACCCTTCTTTCTCGAACTTCAAAGCAATTCTGTCACGCACGGCAGCAGAGATTCCATACCCTTTCTTCTTCATAATATCGACTAAACCCCAAAACTCCTCAACCAATCCATTGACACCCAAAATACCTAACATCCGATTATATGATTTGGAGCTAAGTCTCTCCCCATCAGTCTCCAAAACCCAATTAAAAATCTTCCTTGCCACATCAGGAGTAGACTCGGCATTCCTCAGCACTTTCAAAATCATTTCATGGCTGAAAACAACACCATTTAACTCTAATTCTCTCTTAATATCATCCCTCTCACTAAATCTGGTAAAAATATCAGTTACAGTAGTTACCAAAACAAGATCTGGGTCTTTTTGTTCAACGGCTGCCTCGGATGAGAAACAACAGTGGTTGATGGGAGTGTTGTAATTTAAAATGGATATTCCTTTCATTGTGTTGAAAGGGCTAGTGAAAAGAGAGCGAGGGGATATGTTCTGAAACGAAGAAGTGAGATGAGAAGGAAGAACACAGGGAGGGAGTACCTGGGACATGGTGGAAACTTGGAGAGGAGAACGAGGGTGGTTTCGGAAGAGAAGAAATCTCCATGTCTCATCTTCATCACCATCGTCGGTTGCGATTCTTTCTTTTTCGACTGTGATTTTTGAGGGCCCAAATTAGGGTTTTGGCAGTAAAAAGCACCAAAGGGACGACGGCGAAAGATCAGGGTATTAGTGGATGATTAATAAAAAAAATCCATTTGATATATAATGATATTAATTTTATTAATTATTATATTAACTGCTTGTTTTTTTAATAGAAATTCGTTATTTTTATTAAAAAATATAAAATATTCAAAATTACAATAAAGTTTTTCAAATATAATCGTAAATCTAAAATATAATTATGACATTTTTCTATTATTATTGAGACAAATCACATAAGGACCAAAGAAAGAAAATATTAAAAAATCTAACCAAAAAGCTCAAAACAAAATAAAGATATGAACAAATCTGACTGCATCGACAAACGAACAAGAAAAGGGGATGGAGCTACTGAAAGACCACCGACAAATCGTAAATCATAGTCGAGATACATGAGAAAACTATTCACGAACACAAAACGTGGATCCAAATTAATCTAAGAGTCCAAAGCAAGAAATATCATGTTAACAAATAAGCGCCATCTTGATCAGCCGTGACGATGTCAAATCCAACCATAAGAAAAAATGATAAACGAAAACAACGTCAAAAAAACTGCAAGCTATCAAAAGATAGAGAAAAACGTGCCACAAAATAATATATAAACGTGTCATAAATACAAAGAATATGTCACAAAAAAGACATAATTATTCTTATTAAAAAAACTGAAAAAAACAAAGAAAAAAGATAAACGACGGGCGGCAACCAGCATCAAACTCGATGTGGCCGCCGACAAAATAAAACTAAAGAAGAAAATGTTGAATTAATTAATAAAATTGACACAAATTGTAAAGAAAAAATGAGAGAGAGAATAAGAGGAAGAAAATGACTATATTAATAAAACTAATTCAATTGATATTATTTAAATAATTTAATTAATAAAACTAATGATTAAAAAGAAAAATTTCTATAATTAATTAAATATAATATTTTAATAATTTTCAAATAAATAAAACATAATATATGTTTTAAAATCTTCAATCATTTAATTCGTACAATTAAATACAACATTTTTGGAAATAATAATGGTAAATTACATATTTAGTCAATTAACTATTTTTAACACTCAGCTATTTTTTCTTTCGAAATCACATTAAACTTAAAATTTTGTTTTATTTTGTTCACCCAATTCGATTCAATTTCTATTTTAAAATTTATAACATATAACAATTCATTTATATCACATACAATATTTTTTATTTGTGTCCATGGAAGATATTACAAATTATAACTGGTGTATCAGACGTTTATTGAAACTCAAGGCATATGCAATTCCTATTTTAGCTACAAGTTCACAAAAGACAAATGACTTTTGGAAAGAACTTTGGGAAAAATGAGCTAAAGTCTTATGGAACAAATTGATATGGTTTCCACTACACATTCCAAAACATAGCATGATTACATGGATGACGCTTCTTGACAGACTCCCAACTAAAGATAGGCTTATTAGAATGGGAATCAACACTGACAGCTCATGTATATTATACAATAAGGCCACAGAGAGTAGGGACCACCTGTTTAGCGAATGCCCTCATGTAGTTTCCTTGTAGAATGATATCCTAATCCTCTCTGACTTATGCACTCCTCCTTTATGATAGGTTAGCATGTTAAACTGGGGTTGTAGTACTTGGAAAGGTAAGTACATCCTCACTACTATCTTGAAACTTGTTTGATGCGCTTTAATCTATTCATTGTGGGAGGAAAGAAACAGAAGACTGTTCCAAGGAAACAAAAGACTGTTCCAAGGAAACAAAAGAAGTGTGAAAGAAATGTTGAACTCTGTTAAGGAGATTGTACGTATCCAATTAAGAGGAAAGAACATAAATAAATTAGATAATATTAATATTTACCTTTGTAATCGTTGGGGTGTTGACCAATAAATAATGTTGTAAGTAGGCAGTCATTTATCCTAATTTTGGGATAATATTTTGTATCATGTATCCCATTGTTGTGATTTTTCTGCAGGAGATTTCTGCATCTTAGATAATAAAATTAAATTTATCCAAAAAAAATATTTTTTATTTGACACATAAATTTAATTTATAATAATAAATAAAAATGCAACATAAATAATAAACAACATATTAAATTGTACTTGAAATTTTAATAAAAATATTAAATATTAAATTAAAATATCACAAATATTTTAAAAATAAAAATATGAACCAGTCATTATTCATTTGTAAATATATGTATTTATTAAAATTTAGATCTTGTATTTTGAATCGGACTAGTCGTGAATAAATATAAAATATAAATGCACAGTAAATACTATGACTTTTATAAATATATTTTATATTTATTCAAGATTAATTCAATTTAAAACATGAGATCTAAATTTTAATAAATAGATATATTTACAAATGAATAATGATTCTTTCACATATTTATTTTTAAAAATTTTATGATATATTAATTTAATATTTAATATTTTTATTAAAATTTCAAATACAATTAATTTAATATATTATTTATTATTTACGCAACAATATTATTTATTATTATAAATTAAATTTATGTGTCAAGTGAAAAAACATGCTATATAAATGAATTCTTATATGCTACAAATTTTTTTAAAAAATAAATTGAGTCAAATTGAGTAACTAAAATGGAATAAAAATTTAAGTTTAGCGATGATTTTGAAAGAAAACAGTTCGGTGATGAAAATAAAATCGTAGAAATAATTGAGTTACAAAATATATAATTTAACTTACTTCTTTTAACGAAGTTAACAATTTATGACAAATTAGATAACGATTTATACTTTAAAAATAAAACATCTCAAAAAATAATTTAAAGAATAGCTTGATACAACAATGATACATATAAATAGGGGCGTTCATAATTTGATTAAAACTGAATTAATCAATCGAACGGAAATTTCGGTCAGTTAGTTTGTCGGTTAATTTTGGATTCATTTGATTAACGGTTAATGGTTTTTTTCAAATTTCGGTTATCGGTTAATTCAGTTTGAAATTAATAAATATTTAATATATTATTTATATTTAATTTAATTTTAGGGTGTTTAAACTTTGATTTTAACATAATTAACCGAATAAGCCGAAAATATTAGATATTTAATATCTAGTATATATTATTTATAAATTTTGGTTAATTCGATTGATAGACCAATTAACTGAATATAGTTCAATTCAACTAAAAACAATTTTGATTAATGAATTTTGAGTAATTTGATTCAGTAGCCGAATTAACCAACTAATCACACCCTATGTATAAACCAAATAGAAAAAACTCGGATGTGTGGACGGCAAAGAACACTACTTCTAACATCCACAGTACTGTAGCGTATCTCATATAAATTATTTTAAAGAAGTTCCAAAATAGAAGTCTTATTTCCAGATTTTTTATGGTATTCATCCAATTTGTAAAAATGATATAGTTTTTCATAGTCCTTCTCGGTCACCCGCGGATCCGTGGCGCAATGGTAGCGCGTCTGACTCCAGATCAGAAGGTTGCGTGTTCGATTCACGTCGGGTTCAAAATCCCGATCCTAAACGGGTCCTTTTTTTTCCCTGAGCACTATTTCTTCTTTTCTGATGCCCGCTTATTGTTTGACGAAATGCCTGTCAAAACTGTTTCTACTTGAAACACTCTTTCATCAGCTTATTTCAGACAGGGTAAAATGGCTGAAGCTACTGATTTTTTTTCATAAGAGACCGCGACGTGACTTCCATGATTGTCGGATACTTGCAGAATGGCTTGAATAATTATGCGTTGGAGCTTTTTAGGCTAATGGTTAGAGAAGGTCCTAAAGCAAATAACTTCTCTCTGGCAGCCATGCCGAGTGTCAGTTCAAATTTGATTTCATTGAATCATGGCAAACAAATTCATACAAATTACCATGTATGCTAGAGCTGGAAGTATTAATTGTGCAAGGAAAGTATTTAATCAGATGCTCTGGTTCAAAGATCTTGTATCTTTGGCATCCATGATAATGGCTCTTACTCAACATGGTCTTGGAGAAGACGGCTTCGGGCATTTTGAGAAGTTGCTGGCAGCTGGAATTAAGCCTGACCATATAACATATGTAGGTGTGCTATCTGCTTGTACGCATGTTGGACTGGTAGACCAGGACTGGAGGTATTATAACATGATGAAAGATTTTCACAAAATTGAACCAACACTGAGCCATTATGCATCGATGGTTGACCTTCTTGGGCGAGCTGGTTTGGTACAAGATTATTGTCCTTTATCTTCTTTACTATACTAAATGCTAATTGGCTATAATATATCACATTGAAGATTCTAAAGGAGAAGTAGCTGCAACTGGTGAGCTCATGCACATCAATGTACCGGTGAAAGAAGCAGAAGATGTGCGAGTGTTATGGATCCTAGTCCGGGATCGAGTACGAGTAACACAAAACACCTTCCATACTCCTATATAATGCAATGTAAGCTTTGATTAATATTAATCGGATTCCGGCTAAGTGCCTGGAAACTAAGAAAACACTTGGCCGTCCACTAGAATGAAAACAAAATATTGTGTTTTTCAGAGCGGAAGCATTTTAAGAGCCAATGAATTAATACTAGGTGAAGTTTTGTTAACTATGAATGTAACATTACATTACATGGGCAACTTTTGACAATTACTCATTGGCCATGTTCATAGTATAGACAGACCACTTCCACAAAATTTACATAGAAATTTCAACTGCAATATGACTCAAATGTAGAACCTATATTTATATATACACACACTTTCAAGATTATATGTAATGTACAACATAGCATACTGGAAATCGTTTTGATCTCAATCTTACCCCATGTAAAATTAACTATTTATATGTTCAACATTTAAGACCTCTAGATAAGCTGCTTCAAAAAAAAAATTGTGGGCTGCATAAATTGATGTTACTTATCTTTATAAAACGCCGTCTCTGTTTTGCCAGAACAGTTCTTGCAGTGATCATCTAACGTTTTCTACAGTAAGCTTAGCCGGTCCATGAGGACGGTTAGCCCAAACTGTACTCAAAGCTTGAAGACGTTGGATGTATTCTCCCAAAGCAAGTAAGCCTCTAGCTGCCTGTCGAGTAGTTAGGATGTAAGACATCTGCTGTAGTGTTTCTTTCCGTAGGTGGTCGGCCTGCATATAGAAAAATATCAGACGTTAGTTGAAAATTTGAAACAACACCTAGATTTCCTGTTTCTCCTATCTAAAACATCAATAAGTAGACTCGAATTAAAAAAAATTCCCTGAACAGGATTATAGTAAACAACATTTATATTACTCGAACTTTTTTTTTTTTTATATTTGACATCTATTAACAAAACATACCCCAAGTCAAGGTGACATGGAATAGGACCATGTTGTGCTTATACTGGATGATTTAAAACCATTGAATTTTTTCTGCTCTTCAAATTCAGAGGATTGTACATTCATACTTCGTACAAATATCTTAATATTGTCGGACCAAGTGTTAGTTACAGATTTACAGGTATAATAACAATGATGATAAGAGCAAATGTGAGGGGAAAAACCCCGAAAATAGTGTTAAGTTCTTGAATTAAACCTATGAGACCGCAGGATGGTTGTATCATTACCTGGTTCACAAAGTTGACGAGAGCTTCTAACTTCTCCATTGCCATAGCCACCTGAGGAAGGTAAGTACCTTGACCCATTTGACCCGATGCTAAAGTTGCAGACACAGTTTCCCGGAGTTTCTCCATGCCTTGCGAAAGGGCGTCTTCGGCTTGCTGACATGATTGTTTCAAGTTACAAACTTCCAAAATTTGGTGGTCTGTCAAGGGGTCTATTTGAGGCACTAGCACCTGTAATCAAAATATAATCACACAAAAAAAGATTCCACATTTAGAAATAGAGCTTGGACTGGAATTCCGATGAAACACACTAGAAACTATGCCCTTCAAGCAACATGGATATAAGATATGATCCTTCGAATACATGAAAAGTTTTAAAAGAACCAAACATACTCATCGGACAAATTCTTGCACCCAGTACTCACATCCGAGTTTGAGTAACATAGGTTAAAGTAGCGTTGATTGTGCTGTAATCATGTGGGTGAAAAGACCAAGCGGAAAGGATTTGCAGTTAGATACTGGGCTATAGGTTCTCTTCCCCTCAAAAGACCGAAAACAGGAATCACCTTAAGAAGTTAACTAAACTAAATAATGCATCACCTTAAGAAGTTCAGAAGGCCGAAACCCTCCAATCCATGAGAAAAATCGCTCTGCTGATGTTTTCCACGTACCAGACATCACATAGAAAACATCAGCCTTCGCAACGCTTGATTTCATACGGAACAGTTCCAAATAGTGGCTCATGCCACTTTCCACAAGAATGTGAAGCTCTATATCACTTATCTGAGCATTCAAAGCACTCCTGAGGTCACATATTTGTTTATTTTGTTCTTCCATCCAACGTTCGTATTCCATCTCGAATGCAGTAATCCCTGCAGAATTCTCAGATGGGCTAATCATTGAATAACATTAAAGATCGAAATCAACTTGGAACCAGAAGAAAATGGTGCCAAAGGGAATTATTGCAGAAAGACTGCATTTAACACATCAGATGCAATGGAACTTCATATAATACCAAAACATTTTCAAGGTGGTCCGACAATTACAGACCAGCTGTCAATATTGAAGATTAAAATAGAACTAGAAATATCTAATAAGGCACGGCCTGCAAGATCAAGTTACAAGCATTAATGCATTCTGAAATGTCAAATGACAAAACAACTGAAATATCATATAAAACTTCAACAAGAAAAATAAATATCTAAAACATAAGATCAAAAGTAGTAGTGATAACTGAAAGCATTTTAACAAACAAACCTGAGTTTAATGCACCAGAAATTCCAAGATGACCAACTTCTATTGCACCACCAGCATAAAGACACTGCTGTAAAAGTTTTATTTATCAAGTAGCTTTAAAGAGTTAAAAAATGACAAAAAATCAAATAGAAACTGAAAACAGATATGATATTAATCTTCTTCAAACCTGTTGCCTTGCTCTTTCAAGCTCTTGCTCCAACTGAATCAACTTTAAGCGACTATTTTCTAATTGTTGAACATATGCCTGAAAGATGATGCTAAATCAAGTCCTTAAAAAAGATTGAATGTTGCCTTCTGGTCACCTGTTACAGAGCAAATCCATATCCATCTTACCTTTTTCCGCAAACGACTTTTACGAGCAGCCTCACGGTTTTGTGCAAGACGTCTTTGTATCTATAGATATTAAAGGTAAAATGCACAAAGCAGATTAGCTCTATTTAAGTTAAAATGATCAAACTGCTTTGAGGTACACATATTTTTCCATTTAAATTAGATTTGTTAAGACAATCTGCATGCCTGGGTCATCATTGGCATGACTAGAAGGCACCTTAATATGATCCAATATCATACAGTATGATCCAGACAATATTTATGTCCATTAATATGAGAAAATAAATAAATGATCACCATCACATACAATTCAAAGGTACCTTATCGAAAGGTTTACTTGCTTCTTGGTCATACTTGCTAGAAGGAGCCAGCAATTCATGTGAAGTAGTCTCGGACTGAAAAATTCGAATAAAATGTTACTTGTCTCCAAAATAGGATATATGTGATTTGATACTCAGCAAAGAATAATATTTTCAAATATGTACCTCGTTTTCTAGCTTATTAGCCACATCGAAAATCACTGATGGAGATATATTTGGACTGCCAATACTCTTGAAATTTTCTCCCCACAAGCCAATCTGGTGGATAGGTTCATAGGTACCCATGGTTCTTGAAGGAACAAACAGGGTGGACGGGAAATCCATACTTCTTGAACTGATAATAGAGGCGGCTTTTGTACAAGTTAAATTGAAATTGTAGGCATTTGAGAGCTTAAAGTCTGGAAGGAGACAGTACATCGAAATGTATAAGCTTGAGGAGAAGAACAACATGAACAAGCAACAAAGAACATAATTATAAAAGTTAATCAGATACGAGATTTTCAATTGAGAACCGCCCATCAATAAATCAAGACGTTTAACTAAAGAAGAAAATTAATGCAAGAGTTTCTGATATGCAGCATCTCTGTGGTTAGCTTTTACACGAAACATTAGATATACTGCTAAAATTAATGCATATTGACAGCTTTGACTAAAATACAGAACCTATCCATGTATAAAAGTTGGAAGAGAAATGGTAAATTTGCAAGATTTATGGATAGAATGAAACCATCGAAGAGAGCATAACCAGTCTCGGTTACCACTTCAACGACACCACCGAAGTTTAGTTAAAGAATTCAACAAACATCTTATAGAGGAAAAAAAACAGTAAATTCCTTACTCCTATCATGGCACTCAAACAAGCATGGCATTAATGCAAGAGTACACAAAAATGTATTTCTTAACTGTAAGAACAAAGGAGAAAAAAGTAAACGCTACCGACAAATAGAAAGAAAAGAATCGCCCTAATCTAAACTTTGATTTTCAGTTTCAACTTCAATTCAAAAGAATCATTTACAAGCCCCTATACAAGTATAACAGCCTGAACAATCACGACCCTGGTTCTTCTGCATGCTCCTGCAATCTTTTCTTCTCTACATCTTACCGCTTTCCGTTAATTTTGCTATCATGAAGTTAAAGTTCCCTCTATTCCCGACATTATAGAAGCTTAGCAGTTAACGAAGATAAGTCTATGCTGCATAGTAGCACCGGCAACAGTGGTGAATGCACTGCACGGCGGTCGTAGATTATAGTAAATAGTTAGTAAAGCATCAAGCAATAACCATCACATCTTTTTATGCTTCCCTATCCCATTTACGATCCCACTAAGAAGCAATCAATTATGCAGAATCAACTTGAATTTAGTGCTCTCTCCTCTACACAGATTATTTGAGTGCAAGTGTAAGAAAAGATTGAAAACCAATTATGATTCTCCTCTATCTACCTCATGTCTTAATATGTAAACTGTTGTCATTATTGGAGCTCACTGTTAACTTGTTTATAGTGTTCATGGTGGACCTATTCTTAGTCCTAAAATTCTCCATTACCATCAAAACTAGCAAATATTTTCTTCTACTGGAACTTTCCTAGTATGCACAAAACAAAACTTGCAGAAAGAAAACGGATTCTTCTGCTTCAGAATTAGATAGGATGGCACTGAAAACAATTCCAAATCTAATGAAATCGCCTCAGGTTCAATAAAACAGAGAAGTATAATTCAAAGAACACCCTAAATAAATAAATTATTCATACGAATACGAATATGATAAAGATGATTATTAGAACATATGTTTGAGACATTCAATAACTCCAGAAAGTCAAAATATGAAAGAGAAAATCATTAACTCTAACAGCCAATATTTCATTCAATATAGATAGAAGATATCAAAAGATGCCCGGCCAACAATTAAATGCTAAACCCAGAAATGATCAAATTAGCCCAAAAAATGCTCCCCAACAACTTGTTTCACTGAAAAATTCTATTTTCTTAACCCAAATTAAAATTAAAAAATCAATACTTTTCATAGTTTCCATCTTATAGAAAAACAAATAGCATAGCAAAACTCAAATTAAAACGATAATTTGTCAACTTGGGAAGGATAAAAAAAACTTTGTTTAACCAATTTAACCAGGTTTAAAATATCATGTTTTACTGATGGTTTTCTTCTCAGCTTTCCCGGAAACCAAACACCCACCAAAATCTTTCAAAAAAGAGAGAAAAAACGGGGGGGGGGAACCCAACCTTTTTCGTTTAAAGGGTCGTTAGAACAAGTTTCCCGCTAAAAGTATAGGACCAAAACAGCACAAAAAAAAAAAAAAGTTTTAACAAGCAATGGCTTCTTCTATCCGAAATCGCACTCAGTCCCTCCTATCATCAGTCCCAGTGAGAACACCACACCTTAATACGCCCCATTAACTGTTCAGCAATCTTTTCCTTTTCTATAGTATTTGTTTTTAAAATGTTTTTGCAACAAATACTTTGTATTTTTTCGTATAATTTTCCCTTTTTTTTAACTATCACCTTTGTATTTTTGTCTAGTGTTATCGTGATCTACACTCTACACTGACTCAACAGCATTACCATTAAACAAATTTATTTATCAACAATTATTTATTTTATACAGAAAAATGCTATCTTTCCACTATAGCTAATGTGCGGACCAGGTGGCTTCTTATCCTACGCTTCATTTCCTCTTAACCTTCCCACATACCCCCTGCTGATCTTGATAGCTCACGTCATTTTCCGACGGAATTCCTTCTTTTTCCTCTCTTTTTGTCTTAAATGGGTTGTTGATATACTTGACAAAGAGGAGAGTGAGGTTAAGCGCACCTTAAGAGCGTGGGCGAGGAAGGAGACAAAAGTGGATAATGTGTTCCGCTGGAGAATGAGTTGGCGCGTGAGTTCAACCAGCTATCATGGCGCGTGAGTTCAACCAGCTATCATGGCGCGTGAATTCAACCAGCTACCAAGTTGGTTTGGATATGATGCTTTTGTTAGTGGCATGGTAACGGCTATTCCATGGAGAAATTCGGGGGTAGGTTACCAAAAACAATATTGGAGTTTATCAGAGTAATAGTTTGGGAGAGTTATTCGGTAGGTAAAATATCTTTAATATAAGTTAAGAAAAAATATGATCGAAAATATTATAAATAAATATAATATTTTTAGTTGAGTGTAATTTAAAATATTGTTTTTTAAATATTTTTCAGATGTAAATCTTTTTCATAACATTTTAAGTTGTAATTAAAAATGTTATCTTTTTTATAATATTTTCGGTTGAACCGAAAATATTAAAAAATTAATATTTTAGTTTGCATTCAACAAAAAATGTTATGTTTGTTTATAACATTTTTTGTCGCGTTCTTTTCTTTAATCTTATATTAAGATGTTGTACAATAAAATCTCACATAGTTTAGGGTTTATTTGAAATTGAAATACTGAAATTATGTAAGGGGATAAAATTAAACTTTTAAAAGTTATCATTTTATTTTTCCTATAAAAAAAAGGAATTTGAATATTGTTCAAAGAATTAAAAATATATGTTCACAAAGAAATCAAACTCAAATAGCCTTTTTTAATACAAATCAAATTACATTAACGATTAAATGAATAATTGTTATTTGAAAGTGTCACAGGTTTGACCACCAATAATTCTAATGTGATGATTGAGCGTTTATTATCAAATGATTACAAATATTTAGAATATATATTACTTTATAATTAATTCGGCTTAATAAAAAAATGTTAACTTTTTAAAAAAAATTGAAAATTTTGAATTGTTTATAATTCTCACTTAATTAAATTATTATATTTTGAAATTTTATCAATCAATTCATATGATCATAGTTAATAATTAAATCTAACAATGTTTTAGATCAATTGGTACCACAAATCACATCATGATGTTATTAAATGACAATTTTAAAAATATATCAACTTTTTTATATTTTTTAGATTTTTTTAAAGGTAAAAGGGTACATGAGGTCTCTATGATTTTTTAAAATAACCAATATGGTCCTATTTATTTTTTTTGCACTTAATCTGACCCTCAAATTTGGAAAAATAATCTAGTCTGGTCATTTGATCAACGGTTTCCATCGTTGATCATTATGATGTTGACATAGTATTTTACGGTGCTAACATGACGGTTCACAGTGACTGATGACGTAATTGATGACATGACATATGCGTTAATTTTTTTTTATTTCGAGTATCAAATTGATTTTTTTAAGGTTAAGGACTTATTTACTTTGTACAAACGTATTTTCTATTTCTTGAAAAAAATTAAAAAAATATTGGGGGTGAAAAAAATCCTTAAAGATGTGGATTCCATATTCACATTGACTTTATAGAGTTTTATCAAATGGAAATTGGCAAGGTAAAGTGGATATTCCTTCGTAAAAAATGTTTTTCTTAATTAAATAACTATTTTTATTTTTTTTCTATAGTTTGATGATAATTTATAAATAAATTTTAGTTTCACAATTTTTAAATTTTATTTTCATAAGACTTTGTAATATTTATTTAATTCATTTTTATGAAATTAATGAAATAGAATTAGAAAGATATTTGGAGTTTAAAGATTTTTGTAGGATGAATAGGTTTAGATTTATATAAATAAAAGTAAACTCAAATTCAAGGTGAAAAATAATAACATATATTTTTATATTTTAAATTTATTTTTTTAAATCAAAGAACCCATTGAAATTTGTAGAAAATTTAATTTAGCCCTCAAACTTGAAAAAATAATAATTTAACACATATGTCACATCATCAATTATCATATACCGTCACATCAATATCGTAGATTATCACGTCGACATCATAACAGTCAATGACGAAAATCGTTTGTCAAATGGCCGTATTGTGTTTTTTTTTATGTTTTAGGGTTACATCGAGTGTAAAAAAAATTGAGGGTCCATTAAATTTTTAGAAAAGTACAAGGGCTTGAGGTACCCTTTTACCTTTTTAAAATTACTTTAAAACTTCAACAATATTTTCCAAGAAATTTTCTTTTAAAATCAATAAATTTCATATAGCAAAACCACAATGTGTCATTTGATAGTAATATCTCAAAAATATTAATAATTGAAGATATGAAATGATCAAAAGACCTAAATGATTCAGTTTTTTATTTACAAATTTAATTAATTTAATTTTTGGGTTGAGTATTTATTTGAGTATAACAAAATTAATTAATATTTTTTAAAGTTTGAGGGCTTTATGCCTTAATTTAATTAATTAACACATTTATTTTGAAGATTTAAAATATGTGTTTTTAAGGTGAAAAGATACATTGTCCTGTGTAATTATGAGAGTTTAGATTTTATTCCTAGCATCTCTTCCCCTATCCAATTATTGATAAATAATACTGAATGGACAATAATCAATTAATTAATTTAATATATTATTATATTGAAAATAATATATATTAAAATTTAAAACATTCTTGAAATATTTGTATGTAAAGTAGGATGCATTCTGTTTATATTACGATAATTTAGATATGTAAAATATAATATATACAATAGGGTAAAATACAAAATTGGTCACTAATGTTTGAGGTAGTTTTGTTTTCCCCACTGTTGTTTCAAAAGTTACAAATCGGTCACTAACAGTATCGATTCATTACAAACTGGTCACCCAACATTAACAGCCGTGACCAATGCATACATGGACTTGGTTGACTAAGTTGACCGCCACGTTTTAGAGTAAACCCAGATAGAGTCGACGCAAATAAGGCCAAAAAGAAAGCTCCGGTAGTTACCACTCCGACGACCGCCCCTGAACCATGTTTGCAGAGCTGGTTATGGGAAGAAGGCAAGTTATTGGTATGTACATCTCGAGCCTGATATATACATCTCCATCCAAAGAGTTGCTCCTCCATGCAACCTGTCTCTGATCATTCAGTTCCTGACTACCATTCTCGAAGAACACCCGAAGCACTACAGTTTTGCCTTCACCGTTGCATCTAATAGACTCCCAACCATATGCAATATCACATGAAAAACTTTCTTATCATCACCATAAAACAAGATCGGGTAACGATTTGTCAATCTCAATTGAAAAACTGAAACCCCTATAAACAGACAAGCACTTGGCGAGACAAGCAGCTTATTTCGTCATGGAATGTAATCGAAGAGATCTCTTCACCCCATTTATCACTGAAGAACCTGAATGAATCCCAAAGTACCAAACTTGATATCAACCTAACAGTGCAAGTGGCAGTTGATACCTATGAAACGTAAACAGAAAACAAGCAATTAAGCAAGATGGTTGTATAAACTATCTTATTTCTTTACTTTTTCTTTTTTTTCTTTTCCCCCATAACATTCTCAGGAAACAAACGAGAAAACCCAATTTACCTATCCTTCGAAAGAGCCAAAACAACCCTCACAATTAACAACAAGAAATAAATGCATATGAAATAAGTGGGATTTCAGCTTACACAGAACAAGCGAAGAAGAGAATAAAAAAATAAGGCATAATTTTGAGCATAACGCTTAACATTCTCTTGAACCCTGAGCCTCGCTTGGGAAATTGAAGCTGGAAACGAATAGGACCCAAAATCTGCGAAGAACACTTCAGTCCACGAAGGAGTTTCGCCAGAGAAATTATTGGTGGTGATCTTGGCGAATGGGTTAAACGTTAACAGGGAAAGAAAATCCAAAAATAAGAGAGAAAAGAGACCAAATATCCGAAAAGGAAGCTGATTACTGGGATGGTTATTGTAGAGTCGCTGATTTTG